CTGCTGGGCTCCGGCGATCCTTCCGCCTCAGCCTTCCACATAGCTGGAACTACAGGCACAGACTACCACGGCTAACTGTTGATTTATTGTAGAGAAGAGGTCTCGCCAAGTTGCTCAGGTGGGTCTCGAACCCACAGGCTCAGGCAATCCACTCACCTCACCCTCCCAAAGCGCAGGATTACAGACTGAGCCACCGAGCCCGGCTATTTTTCTGATTTTTACTTGAGAGATCTTGCTATATTGCCCAGGCTGGCCTCAAACTCCCGGGCTCAAGCAATCCTCGCACATCAGCCTCCCAAAATGCTGAGATTACAGGTATGAGCCACTACGCTTGCCCTCTGTGCCCTTTACAATTTCCAGATACCCCAGGGCAAGGCCTCGCCTCCTCCCTCAATCCATTTCCCCTCCCCCTGTCCCCCAATCTGACCTGGCAGAGGCCTTGACCTTAGCCTGGCCAGTGAAGACACGAACAAAAACACGCACATAGAAGTCTGCACTGATGCTCAGCAGCGGCACCACAAAGCGCTGGTAGCAGTTGGCACGGAGGTCCAGGCTGTGCAGGACGATCCTCAGGGCCTAGGGGTGGGGGGGCAGGGGAAAGTGTTAGCATTGTCTCCTGCATTTTCACCTCAAAGAGCCACGTGGCACTCACAAGCACAGGCTCAGGGCTAGCTCCTTGGGTTCCAGGCCCGCCCTGGAGCACCCTGGCTGCGGGAGCCTCTCTGTGCCTCAGTTTCCACATCTGTAAAATCTCAACAGTCCCCCTCTCTCCAGGGCCCTGCTAAGGAAGACACAAGCCCGATAAGCCAAACCTATTTTGATGAGCATCATCCATGTGCCCTGCAGTGTCGGCTGTGAGCCTAGCACCTACGTTCCAGCCCCCTGGGCTCAGTGGGCAGGAAGTGGGACACTTGGCACAGTAGAACTGCTGGGGCCTTCCCTTTGCTGGGATTATGACACTGATACAAGAAAGGAGACAGCACTCCGCAGACTGACCTGAAGACGAGACCCTTAAGGAACAAAGACAAGAGCCCCTCCCTTACCAGCCTGCTGGAATTCCCACAGCTGCCAAGAGAGTCAGAACACCATCCAGCCCATTTTACAGATGCAAAAACCGAGGCCCTGAGAGAAGTCACTTTCCCAGAGCCACCAGCAAAGCTAGGATTTGAACCCAGATCTGGACAAACTACCTTTAAAAAAAGGTTTTTTTCAAAGGTGGTTATGATACAGAATATGAGAATTATATCAGCACCCACTCCTACCTTGGGCAAAACCACTAAGCCTCTGCTCCCAAATGACCACGACTAGTAGCCCGTGTTCGTAGGAACTAAGTTGGTTGAAAAACGATGTAGGATGGATCTAGCCCTGGCTGCCTAGGGGACACTAAGCAGGTCTGTGGGGTAGGAAGGTGTGCTGGGGGAAACTCAGAGCCTGGCCCCTGCCCTCCCTGGCCAGCGGCAGGGCCCCTCACCATCTCGTGGCAGGCCCGGCTCTTGAGAGCCATGGCCCCGTACTTGCTGTAGCATGTCTCCCCGCTGTTCCCTGCCAACACCGCCATGTCCGTGCAGGTCACGCACAGCAGCCCTGCAGGGAGGGGCTGGGCAGTGAGGACGCCCCTCTCAGACACCCCAGCCCTTCTCCGAACCCGGCACCAGCCCGGCCTCACCTCCTTCACTCACAGCCTGCACAGCTGTGTCCAGGAAGGGGGCGGGGCTGCCGTAGGGGTCCAGGTCGATGACATCAAACCTCTCTGACACCCTCTGGTGCTGGGACATCAGCATCCTGGGTACAAGAGGGCCAGGTCCTCAGCCTCCCAAGCCAGGTTCCTTCTCTGTCTCCTACACACAGGAACTCCTACAGTGTGGTGGTTTTGGTCTGAACTAGGGGGCTGGCTTCCCAGGTTCAGGTCCTGGTTCGGCCATTGATTAACGGCATGGTTTTCTTCCTTACGTGGGCCTCAGTCTATCTATCTGAAACAATCCTGACATAGGATTTATATGCCTGGCACTGTTTCAAGCAGTTTATAGACATATTAACACATTTAACCATGCAATCCTCCAAACAACTCCATGGACTGGGGACTATTGTTTCCTTCAGATGATACCTTCTCAACGAAGCCCACCCTGGTCAGGTTATTTAAGATTGTTGTGGCCGGGCCTGGTGGCTCACACCTGTAATCTAGGATTTTGGGAGGCTGAAGCTAGAGGATTGATTGAGTCCAGGAGTTCAAGACTAGCCTGGGCAACACAGAGAGACCTCATCTTTACAAAAAAAAATTTTAAAATTAGCCAGGCATGGTGACGTACACCGGTAGTTCCAGCTACTCTGTAGGCTGAGGCAGAAGGATCACCTGAGCCCAGGAGGCTGAGGTTGTGGTGAGCCGTGGTCATGCCACTGCATTCCAGTCTGGGTGACAGAGTGATACCCTGACTTCAAACATACAAACAACACCACCACCAAAAAACCACGAGCTGCAGTCCCCATAGGCTAGTTTGCCAATCCCTGCAAAGGTCACCAATTTTGTCAATTTTGTTTACTGCTGCATTCCCAGCACTGAGATTGGTGCCCGCCACACAGCAGACACTGGATATAAGATAGATAATTTGAATGAATAAAAGGAGTACAAAAGATGCTGGGTGCAGTGACTCATGGCTCACACCTATAATCCCAACATTTTGGGAGGTTGAGCTGGAAGGATCACTTAAGCCCAGGAGTTTGAGACCAGCCTAGGCAACACAGCAAGACCCTGTCTAACAAAAAAAAAAATTTTTTTTTTTGAGTTGGAGTCTCACTC